TGATACTATTATCACTGTTCGATACATGCATGGCCATATTAGTTGTTTATTATATCGTCAGTGAGTATAACTTATTTAGGATTGTTTATAATGTAGATCAACTAAGTTAGGGAGTTGATGCATGCTTCATATTATATAAATAACTGTTTTTTTTTTCTTGCTAGAGTGTTGTAATAATTATTCTAACCCCTAGGATTCTTGTATTTACTTCTTTATATGAAGTTCTTAACTTAATCTTAATGGTCTATATATTTAATTTCATGTTATGTTCATTTATTTCAGTAGAACAAATTATAATTGATGATATTTTGTTACCTATTCTACTGTTTTGTTTGCTATATCTCAAATATAATTGATAATATTTGCATACACTCTATTCATTTCGTGAAATTTCACTAAATTTATTGTTGTTGTTTATCTAAACAAGATAAGTCTTCTACTCCAATGAGAGTGTTTCTTGTTATACGTGACTATTGTTATAGCTAGAGTAATCTTCTTGTAATGTTTAAATGAATTTCCCCTTTCTTCTCATCTTAAATGATTACTAAATGAATGGATGTCCATGAAAAATGGTAGATGTCCTCACGGCTTAATTATGAAATTTTGAATTTGACATATATAATAATATATTACAATAGTATAAAAGAGTTGAGACAATATGCAACTTAAATCTTTCTCTATTTATTGGCTTGTAAAAGCATGAAAGAAAATGTTTCAATCTATTGCTGGTCTTTGAATTGGCATGGAAAAGTGCGAGGCAAATGAGTTCGTAAGGAATTATCCAAAAAAAAAAAAAAACACATATTAGTTATGAACTATTTAATTAGAAATAAATTTCGTCACGAGTTTTATTATTTTACTAGATACATGAGTCCGTACCAGTACAGACCCAATATATGTTACTTTATATGTTTCAACTTATGTGGTACATATGAAATCTCAAATTATGTGGTACAAATGAAATTTGGAGAGTCGGTCATATATTCTATATATTTTCTCAATTTATGTGGTACATATGAAATCTCAATTTATATGGTACATATGAAATTTAGAGAGTCTGCCAAATATTCTATATTTAAAAAAAAAATTAAGTTGTTAATAATTGTGTTGCAATACTTTTTAAGTTATTTTCAAATCATCTATATTACTTTATTTATCCCAATATATGTGGCACAAATAAATTTTGAGAGTCAATTATACGATTTTTTAATGTTTTAAGTTGTTAATTATTATGATTTATAGTACCTTTTATATAATTTTTAAATAATATATGTTACTTGTTTTGTCTCAATATCCGTAATATTGATAGAATATTTAGTAATAAACAATATTGAAATACCTTGAATTTTAATAGAACTATAAAAAAATAAAAATAACTACAAATACTGAACATTACGGGGTCGTTTGGTACACAGATACATAATGCAGGGATTACTAATATATGGATTAGTAATGCACAGATTAGTAATGCAGGGTTTAGTAATGCAAGGATTAGTTTTTATCAAGTGTCTGGTTCATTGTTTTCCATTTAATCTTATGTTTGGTTTAAAATTCTAGAAAAAGTTTCTTTCCTACTATACCCTTGAATTATTATGAGATTTTATATTTCATTTAATTTGTCAAGTTAAATACGAAAATATATTTAGAAAAATATTATTAATTTTGAGGTGTGATATGCTACTATAGAGATCCTTGATAGCACGATATATTTCTAATTTTTGTTGGTCAAATATACCTTAAACTTAACATAGATTTAAGACTACTTAAATTGTTCAATTACACGAAGCTTATTTTATTAAAAAAATAGTTCAAGTGGTCAATTGACGAACCACATTTTTAAAAACCCAAAAAAATTAACCCAATACAACAAATCTAACATGGAGAAAAACATATTAATTTGTTAAATCATCAAATTACATGGAACGAATTTGAAGAATTTAAAAGAATATTTATAAATATTCTCATATAAATAAAAAAGAGCATTAAATTACAAAAAAAAAATTAGGAAAAAAGATTTGGGGATAGTTTAGTCACTTAGGGGTCTTATCCAAGGATTATTAAACCTTGAATTAGTTATCCCTCCCTTTTCTAGGGATAAAATAAGACCTTGTATGAAATATAACTAATCCATAGATTAGGTTAAATAAAGTAACCAAACAATATTTTTGTTGGACTGAATTTTAATTCAAACGGATCATGTGATGAGACTTGTGGATCCCGCATAAGTCCTTACATCAATAACTATCATGACCCAACCCACCGGGTCGTGCGGGCACCTACATACTACCACCTAAGTAGGAAAACCCTCATATCCCAACCATTTAAATCATGTGGAATTTTAAAGAAAACAAAGATAATTACAATAATATGATTTTATAACTAATATCTTTAGACACACTTTTAGTTAAAACTTGTAAAGAAATTTAACAACTCCTATGTATCTAGTCTAAACAGGTACAAGAGCTACTAAGAGCACAACTGGACAGGATAAATAAAAGACATAGCTCCCACCATGCGGAAGGAAGAATGCTGTTGGAGAATTTCTTCGTCTTCACCTAAGGAAACATCACCAACCTGCATCCAGACTATGTCAAAAAGACATAGCAAGAGTAGTATCAGTACAAACACACGTACTGATAGGCATCATCGGTCAACCCGACCCCCACCACATAGCATACGAAACCAACTAGTAAGATCATGAAATAAGCCACCCGCTTCTGCACCTTCTCAAACAACTTACTCACCAGGTTCTTGATCATAGCCTAACCATTCTAACACATTAACAAACCCCCAATTCCACCCACAAGCACTCCAACTAACCGCTCACTTCGTAATCTTACCTCCTCGTCACATTACTCAACCATGGTCACATAGTACACTACATCAACCTTCTTTACCACTAAACCCATCTCTTTTCCCAAGGTGAAATCCACCTAAGCATATTTCATCACATACGCTACCTCTACTTCTCGCCATTACAACACACGACAACCTTCGCTATCCATCACTCGCCCCTTGAACCCTTTGCCCTTCCACTATACCCAACAAGTTCGCTCAACACAAAGACAATCAATATAAGCCGTCATAACATATACCCACTAAGTGCAACATATGCAAGTCAATACAACAATATCATCACATGTATATATAGAGCATATATAATAACATCGACTTGAAGAACAACAACGTATTTCACATTTCTCAAGCTACACAATTATATAAAGTAGTTGGTCCTCTCATGGAATCCAAACCCAAACTGTTAGCATACCGGAACGTGGTACCCGATCCCACAGTTATGCCGGAACGTGGCAATCCGATCTCATTTTTATGCCGGAACGTGGCAATCCGATCCCATTTTTATGTCGAAACGTGGCAATTCGATCCAAGTTAGTTATGCCGAAACGTGGCAATCCGATCCAAGTTAGTTATGCCGGAACGGGCCCGATCCAAGTTAGTTATGCCGTAACGTGGCAATCTGATCCATCAACACACCACCATCACAAACATAAGTATACTCTCAAGTCATACAATCAAGAAGTGATTCATGGCATATAGTCATTCGCCTATCTCATTTACAACAAGTGTGATCAATAATGCAACATTCATATACACATAAGTATCACAATGAAGCAAGACATACATACATCACACAATCATAGAATCACAACCATCACCTACAATGGATCATTCATCACGCACCTCATGCAAACCTTAATTCGACCATACTCAGCCCTAAATTCATTTTCTTAGGCTTCTTTCTAGGGTTTGGAGATCATCCGGTGCACGAAGGCCTACGCATAAACTCTACCATCGATTTACATATATTACGCAATGAGCACAGATTTACACTACTCAATTCATAAAACCTAGCCTACCTGGGTGCCAAGCAGTTGCACGGAGTTTTTGACCTCGATTCTGGTTTTTTCGGGCTTCGTGACGGTGAATTTGGCCAAGAATCCGCAAGATATCACCATTCGCACGCTAGAAATCTCCTTCTCTTTCCTTCCCAAGCTTAGAGCAGCTTTTCCAAGGTTTTTAGGGTGTTTTACGACTTATTTAGGTATTTTAGGAAGATGGAGAAAATAGGATTTCTCGTAATTTACGTTCTACCTCGCCTATCCCGCCCTGGCGCCAACTTACCCCGCCTTGGCGCTGCCGCCCTATTGGTATCTGGCCCGCTATGGCTGGACAAGGGCTCAGATATTTTTCGGATTTTGCTTCTCCTAAATAATGATGGTTTGGATCGTTATAGTAGCTTTTTTGTCTTTTTAGGCTTTGAAAAGGGCTCAATTATTCAATGTATTTACCAAAGTCCATGCATGAGTTTATTGTAAAAAGATGCAAAAGAAAAGGTAAATGAGAGTTCGAAAAAATACTGCAACCAAATATATATTATCAATACAATGACTTAATAGGAATTAAAGAAAATATTCTTGAATCGCACAATTTCCAAAGCTAATGTACCAACAATACAAGCATAATAAAAAGTAGAATTATATGATAATTAATAAATTGTCCTTGAATGAAATGTTAAAGGTTAAAAGCACACATGTCATTTAATAGGTGGGTGCTTCTAGCCACTTATATATATACTAGATACAGGACCCTGTGCCAGCACGGGGCCCAATATATATTAGTATTTTTTATCTCAATTTATGTGATATCATGGAATTTTAGTATACAACTAATGAAACATACACACACGTAAAAGTGAGGTTAGGCTATCTGAGGGAAACACATTTGTTTTTGTGCTTAGATGATAGCCTTTCGTGTTCCAAACTTTGAATGAAAACAGGAGATCAACAGCAACATTTTCCTGTGGATTTAACCTAAAGTGTTATTCAAAAGTAGCATAGGAAAAGGAAAAACGGTAGAGATAATAATAAGTCAGTGAAGCTAATCTCATTTAGAAAGTAATAATGAAGACAATATGTGAAACAGGAAAACGCCAATTGAAAAGGAAAACTATTTTTCTCACCAAGTAGAGTATCAAATTGATCGCCATTTGTTGTTGCAGTTTCCCTTAACACCGATTTGTCAGCTGTAAAACTTCTATTCGTACTTCAAAAAAGCACAACTTTTCTTTCTGCAACAACTAAGACTACTTTGTCTTATCATATGAATGAATCAAGAAAATTAGAGTCATAAACTGCAAATAAAGACCCAAACTGCAAATAAAGGAACCAAAGTTCATACCAGACTATCTCTTCCAAAAAACCACAACTTTTCTTTCTGCAACAAGTAAGACTACTTTGTCTTATCATATGAATGAATCAAAAAAATTAGAGTCCTAAACTGCAAATAAAGACCCAAACTGCAAATAAAGGAACCAAAGTCCATACCAGACTATCTCTTCCAAAGAAGTAGGCTCAAGATAATACTTATTATTCACCTTGTCAGTATTGGATGTAAACCTGAAATGAAAAATTAACAGCATTAATTCAATATGTTTTTTGTCCAAATGTTACCAACTTTTATACCTTTCCATTACTTTTCTGAAGCATCGAGCGCTAAGTGAATAAAATATCTAAAAATGGTAATCTATGACAGCAGCAGATTCTGAAAATCGAATCAAACAGATGAGAAAATCGAATCAACAAATAAGAAAATATAAGAAGAAATCTTTTGAAGAAAGCATAATTCTTCATGTAGTATGTTGAAAGCCTTATTTTTCCCATCAATATAGTGCAATAGCACTTGCAACAATTATGAAGCATCACGATAATTTGCCACAAAATAAGATGGACAATATTAAACACAAGAAAACTGACATTCTAAGTTTTAGCAATAAAAAACAGAATACATGCAAGCACAAAGATAACATTTGGTTTGAGATTTCAAAAATATTAAAACATCATCAAATCTTTTACAAAATAAGACATGGACACATGATTAATCAATAAGTATTGTATTACACTAAGTAGCTGACAATTTTTGATAACTCTTTCATCCATAGCTACATTAGAGGGAATATAATGCTGCAAAAAAATTTCAAACAGATTACTACTACCACTATGGTAAGAAGAAGGGAAAAGCAAGAGAGAAGTTGTATGTTCGAAAATGTAACAATAACTACAACAAAATAAGATGATAATCAAAGTATAAGAGAATCAAATAAGAAGAAACTACGTAGTAGTATTATGACTATTGGTACCTGATTAATCTTTTATCCTAATATGAATCTTCCATTAGCTGCTATCTAAGTCCATATAGTTGGTTAGCCGAAAAGTATGTCATGTGCTATTTAACCTCTGAAAAGCCAAATAGAATATCAACTATCGAATCAGAAAGTATGAAATGGAAGGAAAAGGAAAGACAACAAATACATTACCTTAGCTGAGCAGTGATTACAACTGAAGAGTTTTCAACAGTGGTTTTAATTGGATGTCAAAATTTGACAGTACAACTAACTTTACTCCTGAATGGTGTGGAGCACCTTCTCAGCATGTGGATGACAGAGATACCAAGCCTATTGAAGCATGACAAATGAAAAGTTAAATTATTGAGTGCCTTCTTATTACTGTAGATGTTGTGTCGTCAACATTCAAGTGGAAGAATAAGCTAATTTGTTTTAAACAGAAATGGGGTAATTCAAAAGTAAGAGAACCTTTTTAATGGTTACTGGGTGTTAGAACAGGCAATTGAACTGAGAACAGAAATAAGAATGTATAACTTGAAATGTGATATAAGTAATGATATTAGGAAAAGTTGGAAAGCATGAGTTTAAGTGACTGTTAGTATTAAATTAGTAATAATGGAAACCTTTTTGAAGGAGTAGGGAAAGTTGTGGTTTGTATTGGGACAATGGTTTGTTTCACGAGGGTACCAATAGTGTAGTCTTGATGAATCATCATTTGTTTTGCATGAGTAAGTAGTTGGTTTATCAGTTTGTTTGAGTTGTATGATAGTTTGCAACCACTGTAAGAAGAAGAGGATTGAGTGACTTACATAATAAGCCTGCATCATAAGTGAACATTCTGTATCTATTCTGTGCAGTAGTTGCATAAATGTTGGCACATCTTAGTCAGTTATCGAGATACATGGAATATGTTCATAACAAAGCTTTTTGAATGATCTCATTGTATACTACATTACAAGTTGAGTGATCATCATCATTATCTGCAGTAGGAGGTCGAATCAATATTTTTATACAGTTTGAACTTTTCGCTCTTGATAAAGCAACATATAATTGACCATGGGAAAAAACTGGTTCACGTAAATAGATACCAACATAATCTAATGTTTGTCCTTGTGCTTTATTTATAGTCATTGCAAAGCATAGACGTATAGGAAACTGTGTTCTTTTAAAAGGAATATGTATTTTTTCATCCTCTGATGATAGTAATGGTATTCTTGGAATAAATACGTGCTTATCTTTGAAGTCACCACTTGCAATTTTACAACTTATAACATGTGTTTTGAAATCACAGCACACCAATCGTGTACCGTTACATAAGCCTTCAGAAGGATTTAAATTTCGCAATAATATAACAGGGCAGTTTTGCTTTAACATTAATCTGTACGTAGGTAAGCCAAGAAGATTTAGAGTGTGTAAGAAGTCCTCAAATTGAGGTTGATCGTTTGGTTCAATAGTCTCATCAGCAGCTATGAATATTTTGGCAACTGTTGAAAATTGAGTTATGAGTCTATCGTTTAGTTCATCAACAAAGTCGTTCTTTGTAGTCAAGATAACACGAGATGTCATAAAAGAAGAGTCATTGAAAGATGTATGTAAATTCGGATATATCACTTTGAACAAAAGATCTAATGACTCTTTTTCAGTAGTAAAAGGAATGATGAACTGCTTTGGGATTTCTATTTTATTGTTAATATTTGTTTTTTCTTTTCCATTCCCAATTCTCATAAGATATTCACAAAAAACAGGATCAGTCCTTGCACGCATATTTTCTGATAGTCTCAATTTTTCAAGTTGATTCCAAATTCTGGAGTTTAAAATACTTTCAGAAATAAAGTCTTCCTTTTTTCCACTTCGGACAATAGGAAGCGTCTTCCTTTTTTCCACTTCGGACAACAGGAAGCGTTTGCCTAAAATCACCTCCAAACACTACGACTTTTCCACCAAAGAGTATATTTGTTTCAGTTAGGTCTTTCATAAGCAAATCAAAAGCTTCAATCATATTTTTTTTTTGACATTGATACCTCATCCCATACAATTAATTTTGCATCACGAATTAAAGATGCGAGAGAGCTTTGCTTACTGATGTTACAGGAGAACTGCTCGTCAATATTAATTGGAATTTTGAAACGTGAATGGGCTGTTCGTCCTCCAGGAAGTATAGATGCCGCAACACCAGAAGTTGCTGTGGCCAAAGCTATGAAACCTTTAGATCTTACAGTGGCCAATAAAGCACGGTACAAAAATGTTTTACCACTTCCTCCCGGACCATCAATGAAAAAAGCACCTGATTCGTTAGTAAGTACTCTTTGAAGGATAGTATCATATGCTATTTTTTGTTCGGTATTCAGTTTTTTATATAATAGCAGATCTTCTTTAGTAACAACTATATTCCTTTCAAAATGAACATCTTTTGCGTCTGACTCTACCCTTGAACTCACAACATTTTCATAAATCAATCTATACTCATTTACATCATGTCCCATGGTATGTAATACATCATTAATATGGTTCAAAACTGAATGTCTTGTTTTTTTTGGATCCATGTTTTGGTTAATTTATTGAAGTCTTCAGACATTGACTCTTCAAATTGTTCCCATAGTTCTTTTGGATTATCAGGATTGCAATATACTAATATTGTAGCAAATAGATGTCGCAAGCTATAAGGCATTTGATAACATACAACCTCTGTCATACAGAATGCCGCAAGCTATAAGGCATTTGATAACATACAGCCTCTGTCATACATTCAACCAAGTTGTTATTATGATGTAACAATCCTCTTTTTTCTGCAGATTCTCTAAATGTGTCGTAGTATTTTCCATCTATTTTTCGAAGATCTTGGTATGACTCAGGGGATCTTACATTCATTAGTAGAAGTCTAAGATAATATCTCTCTCCTTCTGTTGGATGACATGTCACAAGACGGCCAATAACATGACCTCGTTGTCTTCGTGTCCACATTTTGTATGATTTTGACCACACAAAATATTGTGGAAATTCTTTATATAATAAATTGAGTTGTTTAGCATATTCGTTTGTTCTATTCATTAGGAAATATTCTGTTAACATTGTTTTCCTATTCGTTTGTTCTATTCATTAGGAAATATTATGTCAACATTGTTTTCCTAATCATGGGGTTATTCATGATTTTTGTCTATGTTGTCAGCTGTTTTAAAAGAAACAAATTGTTGGTTTTCGAGGTGCAGTTGAAGATGATAAACAGATGGACTCATTTCACTAATAGGGAAAGCAAATAAACGCCATACAGCTTCTGGTGCAGATACCCATCTAGCAGATTGATATTCTTTTATTTCATCTATTTCAACATTTGTATCATCCTCCCGTATAGAAAAGGATATTTTATCGTGTCCTTTACAAATATATTTATAGATATACTTGACAACCTTTATATCAGAACATACTTCGACATTGATATGACAATTAAATTTGCATAGTAGGTAGGGGTTAAAAGGTACTACCCATGAATTGTCAAGAAGTTGTTTTCTAACCTCGACATGCTTGCCTGTATTTCTTCTTCTATAGATTGCATATGAGTTTTTTCCTTTTGTTGTTTTGTCAGCAAAATTCTTTGGGTACTTGAATTTGCAAAATCCTTTTTTCTTCATACATGAATTTGTAGGATTTAAATAACCACAAGGACCATGCATCATATGTTTTTTAACAAGTTTATGTAAGTAAGGACTTTCATTTATATCAGGAAGCTCAGCAGAAACAACTTGATCATATGATTCGGGACTAATTAATTTGAAATCATCATCAAGAATTAGAAGAAAATGAGCATGTGGAAGGCCTCGTTTTTTAAACTCAATAGTGTACATAAATGCAACAACTTTTCCAAATATGTTTTTTTAATATATCTGTTTTTAGCTCTTCAACTTTTGCTTTGAATACTCGGCAAATCAAATCAGGTCTATTTTGAGCTTCATCCGTTGACAGTAAATATTCTTCTATTTCTGGCCAAGAAGGATTACAAGTCATAGTCAAAAATATATCAGGTTTTCCGAAATGTTAAACTAACGTAATAGCATCCATATAACGTTGACGCATATCTCTAGGACCTCCTGTAAAGCTTACAGGAAGAAATGTTTGTTTTCCTACTTTTGAAGCATCTCTGTCACCATGTCTTAGGAAAATCAATAAGCCCTTGTAATGGATCAGTCCGAAATAAATCCTGATTACACGAGACAAAATCCAGCCTTTGAGTTTCAATTTTTATGAACTCATCAACTGAGTATTGTTGGAAAAGTCTTCCTGAATGTAATACTCCATTTATTTCATTATGTCTCATTTGAAATTTATAACAATAGTATTCACGACAAGAGATGTCATCTCTTTTTCGTTTTCCTTTTTGTAGTACTTTAGCTTCTATATCAAGCAGTCCCTCAATAGAACACATATTTGATAAACTTGGAAGTTGTTCATTTTCACATTGAGATCGATATTTTTTCTTGCAAATCTGTTCAACTCTTTTAATTCCACAATGCCAACCATTTTGACCATAGGGAAATAACAATGGATACTGTAAAGGATCATAGCAACCATAGTAATAATTGACTAATTGATTGGTGTTGCTACAAGGATAAATTTGAATATGTGGTGTAGAGCTACTATTGTTTGGTTGTTGGTCTAACCATATTGCCGCCACTTCTGAAACTGTCGGTAGGTTATAAACTTGTTGATTTAATGTAGAGTCACAATTGAGTGCAATATACAAGTTTGAACTTGCATTAGAGATTTTAGAAAGATACAGTAAGGATTTATCTTTAATATATTCATTAATTTTTGAACAACTGATTGATCAGCATTACTGGAAGAAGCCATACGATTCAACATTTCAGTATCATCATCATAAATATATAATTGTAGATTTCTTGGTTGTTGATTTGAAGGTAATACATTATCAATGAAATGATACATTTGTCCTTGAACTCTAAAGGTGTATATACCATGGTATCTTTTTGCTAGCTCTTTGTCATATTTTACTCCAAGAGAAGTAAATGCAAACATGTTATTGTACATTCTAATGTAGGTACGGAAATGTTTGCATTCAACAGTGTCTCCTAACAACAGATTTAGTAATTTTGTAGGCATTTCATGTGATGCTAATTTAACGGTGCCATTACTGCAGCAAAATCCTGGTGATTCATACTGAAATCTTTTTGCCCCACAGTATTCACAAGAAGGCATTTTCTTTAAAATGCTTGGATTGTTGGGGAGTTGTTTAATATTGCAACAATATATACTTCTTAACCTATTACCTGTGTAAATTAATTGCAAGGGAGTGGGGTATAAGGTAGAAGAAGAGCTAAGGTGGAGGAACATCTAAGCAAGCAAGATAACTATAAGTTTTTAGAGAGACAAACCGTTGTTTTTGTCAGTGATTGCCTTTGGATCATTTGTTGATGGGCAAGTGATGCAGAACCTAGATTCAAGATGATTTGAATGAAAATAGAATAAGATTTCTCTTAAAATCCTGACTTTTTCTGTAAAATAGGAAAAAGGGAATAGACAAACCTTTGGTAGTCACAGTGATTGCAATTGGGCTGTGTTGTTTAACGGGTGCAGCCGACGTCGAGCCTATTGTAGAAACAGTTGCAATGAGGACATTAAAAAAAATTCTCCAGAAAAGTGAATATCAACAACATTTTACTGTGACGTACCTACTTCAAAGATGGATAGGCAACCAATCATATCTTTTGCTTTACCCGATACAACTGCAGAAGTATCAACGCGAGAGGTGTCGCCTACACGAACAATGGTGTTATAACCATCGGTAAATCACAACTACACTTAGTCAGAGATAATATTAGGAAACTTGTTTCAGGGTGAGGCGGTATATCTGTAATAGCAAGACCTTTTTGTCCAGTGAATTGAAGTTGAACAGTAGGTAGTGGAGTGGGAGAACCACCAAGGAGATTTTTGTTCCTCAATTGTTGATATCTTGTCCGTCGTTGAAGAAGAAGTGCTTCTTTTTTATCCGATGAGAGCTGTTTATATATACTGCGTCGCCTATTATTAATAATGGAGGCTCTATCCGTTGAATATTGGCGTGCCTTTTCTTGTGAGGATGACGGTGGAGGGATGACTTTTTTATCCATGGACACAGCTATAACAGGAAACATATGTAATTAGGTCAACAAATTCGGATTGTAAAATAAGAATGATATTGTATTAGATAATCAGAGAATGTAAAGAAACTTGTGAAAGCAATATCATGATAGAATAGTAGATTAACAATTTTCATCCAGTCGTGTTAAACATTATATATGCACATTTTAATGGCAAAAATGATTCTTAGACGTTTGTTTCAACGTAAATGCCTTAACTTGACCTCACACATATATTGAAAAGCTCAAAATCAAAATATAGTCTGCACATTGATGGGTTTTGTTAACTATGCAGATTTGGACAAGATTTAATCACCTTTGAATGACCTAAAACTGGCCAACCTTGAGAAGCTGACCTTTAGGTATAATAGGGAGATAGATGCATCACTTTTTCCTGCCGTGTCTTGTTTAAGAGAGACAACAAATGATAAGATACTCTCATTTAACTATGAAGGTTTCAGAGCAGAGATCAAGTTTGTGTTGCAACAGTTGCTTCAGTCTTTGGTTGTTCTGGCAATACTCTAATTAGCAATTGACAAAGGCAACGATCCCTTAACTTCATCTCTAATCTTATATAGAAATACGTTAGCAAAGAAATTGTTACCTAAGAGGAAAACTTTACCAGTGTTAGCAGGAACAAAATGTGTACTACCAATAATAATTTTGCTTGCCAAATCCAATTTCCTGTAACATTGGTTTTCAAGTGGTAATGGTTTGTTTTGCCTTTAAGGTTACGTAGAAAACAATTCCTGTGTTGAGAAAATCTACCACTTTGTTAGAACTGTTTTGCTCTATCTGTTTGTTCTACTAAGTAGTGCAAAGATTCAAATTTTATGAGACTCTTCCTCCTCTATCTTAGGTTCATTTTTCTTATAACTTTTGGTATCCTCTGGAAAAGACTGAAATATTGAAGTACCTATATAATATCTATAAGAAATAGTAAGATTTTTTAGAATTTGAATTTCATAAATCCTTACCTCCTCTGTTTTGGAAATGGAGAATTTTCTGCCAGCATAATGTTTATATTATATTCATCATTCACATGCTAATCTATTAAAGCAGTTCCCATTTATGCTAATTAGAGAGCAACACAACATAGAGCCTAAAGGCTGATCACCATAGACTTGCACATTCGGTAAATGTAAGAGCTGAAGTTTAGGAGTTCATTTACAATCCACGACCAACACTATAGATCGAAAATTACAACTAAAGTAATAGTTGAAGCAAAAAGTTCAGTGCATGTGTATAATCAATTTAAGCTCAGAACAATCCTTTCCTTCCGATAATTTTTCTATGATTTCCTTTTGCTAACATCAAAACTACACATTCAAAATATTTGTAAACCCAGAAGAAACAAAAATTTCATCAAATATCATGGAAAGAAAAGTCCAAGTTACAACTAATGAAATCCACCGGAGAAACAATATCGAGTAGAAGTGGAAAAACAGAACTCACAAAGTATAGATAGATCAGATAGATCGGCTGAAATAGAAAGCTTGAAAAAATTCTTCAGCAAGATCGACCAAAAAGACTGATGGGAAAGAGGAAATCCGAATTTGGAAGAAGAAAATGAGGAATTTACAAAGGACAAATCGCTGTTGAAGTCGTAATGGTTGTTAATGCTGTGAAACCCTGTAAATTCAGATAAGAACAAGCACCGCTTGGAGAACCAGAGAAAGGAAAAGACAAATCTACCCTTTGAGGATGATGACGAAGAGCAGCTTCTTGTTAGACTAATAAGCTGTAGATTTTGCTTATTTACGGATTTGCCCTTGGTCGTCATTGCTCTTCACTCTTCTATATAATAGAATATATATAAAATATCGAATATGTGTTTAATTTATATTTATTTTAAACTTGCATATAAAAGGGTAAAATTGTCAAATTTATATTTATTTTAAATAGGTTTAAAGAGTTGTTACAAGAAAATGGAAATAAGGGAGGTAGACGGAATATCGTAAACCACAAGGGAGGTGAGTGTTATAGAGCGAAACCTAGAGGGAGGTCTCTGAAATTATCCCTTTTAAAAAATTGAAGTGAAACAATAATAAAAGCAAACCAAGGTTTTTTAAAAAGGCAGAAGAAGAGAAACCGTTATTCAAATAACATAATTTCTTTAAATATGATAGACAACTTTTTTTTTAAAAATAAATTATTCTCTTCTTGTTTTCTTCTCCATTTTTACAATTCCAAACTTAAAAAAGAAGAAGATAGAAATTGACCTAAACAATCGCTCTCTAGAATGATAGCGAACAAATGTATATTTATTTTTGTATATTGTATAATATGTATAAAATATATTTTTTGACACATAATAATAGATATTAAGCTATCAATTATAATTATTTGTACTATGACTTTTCACTGTTGGAAGTTGGTGATGGCCCATAAAACCCAGGCTAACCTCTACCTCAGTTTCCATGGATCGGCCCATCATTATTTCAGCTCAATTGTTAAGTAGATTGGGGTGACTCAAGTTACAAAGTCATCATTGACTAAAAAAAAAAAAAACAACTTTCATAAAGTACATTAGTATATGTGCTAATTACTCAAAGCATCAATAATCTCAATAATTATATATTTTGTTCGAGTCACCTTTAGATATACCGTATTTATTTCTAGATACATCATATTTAGTGAATGTATCTCGCCTCTCTCCTCTATATTGCTCACCTGTATCCTCTTCCGCTCGCCCCTCCCCTTTTTTGTCCCTCTATTTCTCTATATATGTATTTCACAATTCATGTATCGGTGTATCCAATATCAATTTCATGTATATATATGTGTATCCAGTATCAATTTCATTTATCTGTATATTCAAAATAAATTTCATCCAATATATCCGATATCAATTTCGTCAATGTATTTAGTGTCAATTTTTTAGTGTATTCGTGGATAGATATGTATTTGGTCTCAAAATATGCATATCAATTGCCTTTATATGCCATCACCACTGAGTAGTAAGAGGGAATTAAGAGAAAGGGATTATGTAATTATTTTAAAGTACAGTGGGATTCATTCACTGGCTATGGTCGAGATGCTTGTGTAATTACAACCCAATACCTTTAGGCCATCTAGTATATAAGATATGTGCAATGTAATAAAGATTTCATCAGTCAATTCCAACTTATGGGACCGATTAGAATTTCTTATTTGATTAGATGTCTACTCAAATTTCTAACAATGTAGTAGACTACATCGACATTGTTAATTTGGTTGTATTTTAAGCACTCAAAGAATCAAATTCTTTGAGTAACTATGTTATATGTAAAATGCGGAAATAAAACCATTATAAAAAAAATTATGTAAAAAATTTCTTGATCAGGGGAATCAGAAATCACGATCACTTAACATGTAGACCGAAAAAAATGATAGTGTTATAAGTTCTACATATATCTCTAATCCTGAAGTAGCTGAAATTACTCAAGAAAGTGAGGTTGTCATGTTGCTCAAACCCAATTCAGCGATCAAGTCACCCATGGTCACATCGAACACCTCAGCTCATGAAGTCTCGAAAGAAAAGCAAAGGGAGATGAGTACTCCTAGATGGGCTGATTTGGTTGATGAAGAAGAGCATGTTTCACCTCCGCTTTTGAATAGAAAATTAAGTCCACTAGCTTTGAAATTTGTACCTAAAAGTATAAATGCAAAGAAGAAGGAACAAGAGGCCTTGGCATCAGAATTTAGTCCAACTAGGGTTATGAAAGTGATTTGGGCGATGATTCTTTTGATGAGGATGAGGAAGAAAATATGTTGGACATATGCTTTGATGAAGTGGCTAGGGATGGGGATATTTCACCTCGGAATCAAAGAAGTGGAAGCAACAAAAACAAAAAGAAGACACATGGAAGGAAGCACAGTTGGGATGGTAAAGTGATCACATGAGAGTTTGTTCCAAGGCACCTACCGATGAGACTGGCAAAGCAGATCCATATGACAGTGTCAATAGCTTCAACAAGATCCAATACATCCAAGAAGAAGTGATGACCTATCAAGTTTTGTTGGACAAATTTGAAGAAGAAGACAAGATGAAAATACTTCAGGTTACTCTAGATGGGCTATCTATCATTTTTAATTCACGCATTTGTAAAAGTAAGTTTGAGGTTGATAACTCAACTTTCTTCTTGGATTTTATATTTGTACATTTTTCAAGTATTCTCATTTGTAATATCATCATAGAGGTATTACAAATTTTGTGATGATCATAGAATACCTAGTTCTCTCTAGCTCTTATTTTTTTCATGCTTGTTAATTAGTAGAGGTTCGTTGCCTCATTAGGATTGACAAGGTAAGGCCTAACCCCCCTTGCTTGTACTTATTTCTATTGAGGATTTTTATTTTAATAAAAAACTGCTAGACGCTCTGTTTAGTGGTATAAATTGAAAAAAATTTTACAATCACTTTGCATAATAGTTTTTTCAATCTCTTTCATTAAATTCGAGACCAATCTATATATATATATAAAGGAGAATCTTAGACTTGCTTATGTGGCATGCCTCTAAGGCCACCATTTGCATTTATCTTTTTTCTCTTTTTTGGCCTTTTTTTTCTTATTTAAATTAGTTTATTACTTACATATATATTTACAAAGGACAAAATTCTTTATTATAGGAGAATATGTTACTGGAGAGTT